AATCTCCAGAGAGAGCATGGCCAGAAAGGCCACTACAAATCAGGTCCCACATGCCACGGCGGCCTCCACAATCCATGAATCACCCCTGGGCAAACCCCAGCACAGCCCTTCACTTTATTTTCATGTTACTACACCAGCACCTGACATTTCTTGTTCATTGGGTTTCTGTCCATCCCCTCAGAACGGAGGCTCTCTGAGACCAGGGGCTGTGACATGGCCCTCCCAGGTACAAGAAGGGGAAAGCAACCCAGCATCTCTGGGGTGGGGAACAGAATCTAGTTGTGGATGGGTCCGTGCCTGGGCCCAGCCTGACTGAGCCGGCCTTGGCCAATGCCCCACAGCCTTAACCTGCAGGTCACACAGGGTCTGCTAGGGCAGACCCGACGCTCCCTGCATGATGACGGGCCTGGGGTCTGGAAGAAGGCCAGCCCATACGCCCCTGTTCTCACACCCAACATCCTAAGGAGCTTCCCTGCCCCACCTGCTGGCCCACTAGACAACACCTCCCCCACCCCCAGCTCTGGGTTATAGATTAAAGGCACAGACACCTACTCCAGAAGGTCCCTGTGAACAATGGTCTCCCTGAAGGGTAGGAGGGCTGGCTGAAGGTGCTGGAATGTTCCTATGGATACATCAGCAGGGAGCCATCTGGGGCTCAGACCCAGACCTTCTCATTTTATAGTGAGGTGGAGGTGGGCTGATTTGTTTCCTCATTTGTAAATAGGGAATAATATTGGTGCCTATTTCATAGGACGGTCATGTTCTGGACCCCCATTTCCCTTCCCCAACCAAGTGGGCTGCTCTACTTACTGGACCAGGGCCATGCCTTTCTGTCCTGAGCTATGTGCATCCCTTCCTGTGCATTCATCTCCATACTGCCCCTCTCCAGGCTCCCATCCCCATTTCATGGAACACCCAGGGAGTGAAACTTTCTTTGCTGTTCTCTAGCGGTTTCCCATCCATGAGCTTACTTCCCTGAACACAGAGAAACTTGACTACCATACGCCTCCTAGACTGCTTTGCCTACTACACCCACCCCCGGCTGCTAATCTCAGCTCCTGGTCCCCCTTACGGTAGCTCACTCTGTAGAGAGCCCCTCCTCCTTGAAACGCCCTTGTCCTCAGGGTCCATGAAGGCACTCCATCAGCGTCCTCCCCCTGCCCCTGTCTGCTCCTGTCTTTTCCTGATGCCTGTCCTTCCTCCCACAATGACCTCATCCCTCCCTTGGCTTCAGTTCCCCCCATGCACCAAAGGTTCCACATCTCCAGCCAAAACCTCTGGCCCGAGTCTGAGATGCAGACATCTAACGGTTTAGGTAACATCCATTAAGAGTCACTGACACCTTGGACGTGAAGGGCATGGGGAGGACTTAATACAACAAGGCACACACAGTCACCAGCACACTGGCCGGCCCAGGAGACGCTTAGCAAGTGGTCGCTAGTGTTATTATTTGCAATTTTCATTTTAAAATTAGCACCCTTTTAATAGGCAGAAATACGAATTTGAAAAGAGCAAACAAAACTCTCTCCCAGGGATTGAAGGGAGGATTGCAGTTCTTTCCTCAACCTCTGGGGTTAGTGGGTTGGAAACTCCACACCTATCACTGTAGGCCAGCCATTCTAGAAACAAGTTCCTAAACTCTATCTCCAAGTCCCCTAGTTAATTAATTCGTGTTCCAGCTATTATTCCTGTTGACAACCTTGGTGGCTCTTGGCAAGGATGGGTCAGCCCAAGCAAGTCCAGACGTATTGTGGCAAATCCCACTGGCTTCTGGGATGTGAGACAGGATCCCCATAAGGCAGGAGCAGTACCTCGTTAGAGAGGATTAACTGGGAGGATGAACGGGGGAATGAGGTCCTCTCAGCCAACTGGCCGATGGCCTTGGTGCCGTAGGTCACAGATAGGCCTCAAAACACCCCATATGGGCCAGGCCGGCCTGCATCCTGGTGGGGGCTGACGCAGGTGGGGAGGGGGCACTGAAGGCCACGTCCTTACCCTCCTTTCTCAGAGAACACACTTCTCATGCAATGATGACATTCTTCCCAGCCTAGAAAAAAGCCTTGGGTTTCAATGACAGGGACTTTGGTTAGACACTCGGAAGAACTAATTTCCATGCCTATTTGAGGCAGGCATGAGGGAAGAGAGGCGCCTGGACCTTGACAGGGAGCCTCGGTGAGGCCAGGCCTGCTCACGGAGACCACCTCCTGCAGCTACAGCCAGAGGCTCAGGTGGGTGGACTGTGGTCAGCTCTCCATTGTTTGCCCCAGAGCGACACCTGCTGAAGGCCCACAGCACTCCAAGACCCTTCCTCCCCGGCCCCCACAGGAGCCCCCACCCCCCTCCTCTCTCCACTAGCCCAGGGCAGGCAAAGTGGTTGAGGGAGGAGAGAAAATCCTGTAGAACAAACAGATGAAGCATTTCCCGGGAGCTCTGGCCTGGGAGTGAGCCTCTGGGGTTTCCTCTCATATCGGCATCTGGCTTCTGTGACTTTGGGCTGGTGCCTGGGCTGCTCTGGGCCTCCGTTTCCCCAGCAGAGCCTGGAGGATGGTAAACTGGATGACCCTGAGCGATCCTTCCAACACGTCAGTCCCCGATTCTGTACCGTGAGGCTTCTCCGCCCTGGGTCCCTCCCCCTGCAGACGGGTAGAGCTTCCGAACACGGTGGTGCCTCCAGGCACCTCTGACCCTCGCCTAGAGCTGCACACTTAGCCTGACTGTACAGAGAGATGCCGCCGCTTTGGGGAGTGCTGGGCGCAGCCCTTCCAAGACGGGGATGCCAAGACCACCAGGAAGTGCCCTCCCTCCCATCTTCACAACTTCCAGGCAATCTGGAGCCCTTGGCTCCATTCAGAGTCCCCAAGACATCAGGTAACAGCTCTTCAGCTTTCGTGGGGGGAGAGGTACCCCTGGCTTCCCGGGAAGGCTGGGCACTGTGGGCAGGAGGGATCTCCCGGCACATATCACACACCAGGTTCCCCACCCCAGTGTGCCTTGGCCCCCCAAGACAGCAGCCCCTCCCGGCCCCCGTTTCCTGCTAAATCTCTGGGGCTCCATGGAGGGAAGTGACTCCAGTCCTCACATTCCCAGGATCTTGGGGCCTGGAGGCTGGCTCACCACCTCCTACTTAGGACCCTGTGTCTTCCTACTTAGGACCCTGCGTCTTCAGTCCCCACAGCCCAGGCCCCTCATTTTCACATTTCCGACTTCCCTCCAGGAACGTGCCCCCCATCAAACCTTGCTATCCCCACTCAGCTTACTCGTCCATCTTCATCCCCACCCAGCTAAGATTCTGGGGCCCACTGCTCCTCCCAATGGCTTACTCCCCGAATGCCCCATCCAGCCGGATAAAACCTGCTGGGTGAACCCTATGACTCTTGCAGCCCCAAGAACCTCTAGAGAGCCGGGCCCTGGCCACGCCCACAGAGCCGTGTCCTCCCGCAGCCACCCCCTCCGCAGACCCCCTTCCACTGCCCACCAGGCTCCTCTGACTTCCTTGGTCAGCTGTCTCTCCCATTCTCCCCTCTGAATGGCTCCGCGGTCCTCAAACCTCTCACCTCCCCCTCCTGCACCCTCCTCCTTCTTCTCTGCTTGATCATGAGCTCACAGAAGCCATCAGAACAGCTTCCTTAACCTCCCCACCCCCAAACACCATCCCCAGCTGCATCTGCCTCCCTGCTGCTGAAGTGGGGAAGCAGGCTCTCTGCAGCCCAGGCGAATCCCTAGAATCTCGGGTCTGTGCTCTGCCTCGCGCCCCTGTCCCGGACTTCGCTCTCCCCATCTTCCTCCTCCCCATCTCCTCACCCCTCAGCTGTGTCCACCCCTGGGGAGAGGGTTTGCCTTCACTGCCGGGGACCCCAGTGGACACTCTTCAGCTTTGTGGAGTTCAGCCTATCAGGAGTGTCTGCCCTGTGCATGGCCCCCCTCCTCCTGGCCCCACTTGGCTCTGTCCTCGCCACCCTGGCCTCCGGTCTGCGGACACCACCCCGCTGCGGGACCTCTTTTCTCCACATGCTCCCTGGCTGCCACGACTGTTTTTATACTGGTGACCTTACTTCTGTCCCTCTAGCCGAGGCCTCTCTCCTGGATTCCAGCCCCAGAGCCCACTTCCCACAGGACGGCCCCATTCGCACATTCCACAGGCTCCTCGGACCCCACCCCACGTGTCTGTCAAACTCCACGCTGCACGCCATCCGCCCTCAAACCGCCCCTCCTCAGGTCTCCATCTTGCTCAGTAGCGCCTCCATCTGCCTGGTTGCTCAAAAGCAGCAAGCTGGGTGCACAGCGTGCCGGCTCCCTCCCCCACCTGCAGTTCCTCATAATCCTAACTCTCCCTTAAAGGACCCACTTCTCGATGCCCACTGCCAGGAGCCTGGTCCAAGCTGCCACCATCTCTTGCTGGACACCCGCCACCACCTCCTGATGGCTCCTTCTCCTCCAGAGCTCCAGACAGGCTCACAGTCAGGAATCTGCAGTCCTCCATTGCCTAGCCCTTCGGAGGAGGACACCTACCCTCTCTGCTTTGGCCTCCCAGTTCCCAGCTCCACCTGCCCTGGCCTACCTCACTCTGCTCATTCTCTGCTTGTGATGCGGATTTTCCTCAGCTCCATTGCTGTGTGATCCCTCTCCTGAGAACCTTTACCCCCGGTGACCACAGCCCGACGTGTTCCCTCGGGCCAGGTCCAGCTCCTCCTCCAGGCCCCATGAAATGCCACTTCCCTCTAGGCTGGGTCTGGGGCCCTCTACTGCCTCGTCCCACATCCAGCTGCACTCCTCCGCTCCTTGGCCTCGCCCTTCAGTTGCTGGTCCCTGTTTAATTGTCACGCTCACTGCTCGGCCCTCAGCTCAGGAGAGGTCAGAGCCTGGACCTGTCTCATTCATGGTTCTAACCCCAATGCCTAGCTCCGGGCTAAGAGGCTGGCCCTGAATAAGTGTTTGTTAATAAACGGCCAAGCCGCACCCCTCCCTGCCCTGCCCCCCACACCGACCCTCCCCACACTGACCTCTGACATCTGCGGGAAGAGGCTGATGGCCAGTGGCAGGGCCAGGCCGAAGGCCGCCAGGCATACAAGGCTTTGCACGGGGAGGAGGAGCCGGGGACGTGCCTGCAGGAGAGCCGTCCTGTAGGAGGGAGGAGGGAGCTCCATGAGACCAGAAGACAGGCTGAGCTGGCTGCCAGCCACCATGCGGGGTCCCACCCAGAGTCCCAGGACCCGGGCAGCGTGGTCCTGGGCCACAGCATGGTCCTGGGCCACGGCCAGCCCACAGCTAAATAGTTGTGGTGGCATTCTGTCTTTGGGGCCTTCCCCAGTTGGCACCCTTTCCCCCAGGCCCTGCCCTGAAGGACAGTGCTGCTTGAATCCTCAATCACACATCACAAGTGAGTACTTGGGGGGCACCCATCCCACCCTGTGTCCAGCCTTGTGCAAAGAAGGCCACATGTGGGGGAGACACGAAAGGTGGCTGTCGGCCCCCGCCCCTGGGGAGACACACAGCAGAGAAGGATGGTCCTCAAAGGCAGCACATAAGAAAATACTGAACAAACCAGAGTAGAAGCCAGGTCCAAGGGAGGAGACAAATGGCACCCACACACACGCACGCACATACGCATACGCACAGCCGAGTACGGGAACAGAACACACCCTGCTGACCACCTGGTCTGCTTTGATCCAAGAGCCACAGAGGGCAGGGACTTGCCCCAGGCCACAGCCACGTCTGCAGGAGGCAGGCCGGACTGCGGTCTGCAAGTGCCACCGCCCCGTGCCGCTCCCAGCTCCTGTCTTCAGAACCCTTTGCCAGTGTTGACACCCACCCCCCTTGACAGGATTCCTGGGCAGGAGAAATACACGAAGAGACTCCCTCCAGGCCCTGGGCCCCTCAGCTCCATGATAAAGCAGCTCTCCAGACAGAGTGGGGCCGTGCCCACTGGCGAATATACCTTCACTGTGTTGCCCATCAGAGCTTTATGTTTTGTGTACTCCAGCAGGCCCCGTGGCGGAGACCACCAAGCATTCTACCTGGGGAGGCCTGGGGTAGCCGTGCCAGCAGGATGGGCGACTGGACGATTTGCCAGAGGATGTTGGGTGGGCACCAAGTCTGACCTCAGTAACTGTGTCGGCCCCCTCATGAGTGGGACTGGCTCCTGGGATGAAGAGGATATCATCAGGCTCCGGCCCCTCCTGCTGGAACCGGGCTGGCTGTGGCCACCGGCAGGTGAGAGGCCCTTTTGGGGGCAGGGCCTCAGTGTGGGCGACAGGCAAACCCCACCCCACCTTCACCTCCCAGGACAAGAATCCCAAGAGCACCTGGCCCTGCACAGACAGTAAAATTGGGAGCCACAGTTCTCAAATTTTGGTGTCTAGGCATCTGCTTCCCAAGGCAGACCCCCAAGGGCCCCTTACCCCAGTGAGATCCCCATTCGGTTGGTACTATGACTGGGACTCTGCATTTCAAACAAGCCTCCGTGAGTCTAAAACAGGTGATCCCCAGACCACACTTCTGAGAAACCCTGGCCCAGGAGGTTCCTGCTAGGGTACCAAAAAAGCTCCAATTATTTATAAATTCTATGCAAATAAAAGGCCTGGAGCACAGTAAGTGCTCTGTAATTGTGGGTTACTGTTGCTGTTTTTGCTCTTGTTAGTGCAAGAAGGAGGGAGGATCCCGGTGACACTGTCCTCTAGCCCTTTCCAGTGGCCCAGACCCCAAGACCTGGCCAGCTGTTGAATTAAGCCTGGAGAGGGCAGTGTCACAGGATTAAGAGCAGCAGGGCAAAGGTGCCTAGACCAAGCTCGAACCCATCTGACCTTCCCCTCAACCTAGTCCAGTGCCCCCACCCTCTTCCCATCCTCCAGGTGAGCCTCCCCCCTCCCCCCCCCGCCAGCCCCGGGGCCTCCTGGCTTCCCTGGGAGTCACAGATGCTTGAAATGGGCTCTGAGACCTTTCCACCTGAGATCAACTTCGCCGGCAGGACAAGGAGGTGGGGTATCCAGCCTCACTCTCCAGACCTTCGTAGGAGTCCCCCTGCCCTCAAGAGGCTGTGGAGGGCGGGGCTACCCTCCTGGTCGGTTGTGGCAGTGACTGGGCCCTCAGTCCCTGGTGGGGAATCAGAGGAGGGGAATGGGATAGGAGGGTGTGAAGTCCCGAGCACTACAGACTGGAGGGTCACCAAGGGCAAAGAGGGGACAGGGAGAAAGAGTGAAGCTCCCTCCCTAGCAGGGGAGGGGCGGGCCACGGGCTCCATCCTTGGTCGCTCCTGGGAGGGACCACGGACAGCCTCCTTCCCCATGGGGCTGTGACCCTGGCCCCTCTCTCAGGGGTGGCTGGCCAGAATCTGCACTGGAAAAGGGGTCCAGGAAGCCCCAGGCCTGTGCCCCTGACTCAGGCAGCAGGCAGCCCCAAGACTTCAGCCAAACAGGAACCCCTGAAGTCCCAGCCCTGAGCAGGGAGAGTGAACACAGCAGGACGGGGGAGGGGAGGAGGAGAGGGAAATGGCAGGGAGGGATCGGAAAGGCAGCTGGGGGAGTTGAAATATGCAGATGGAGAGATGTGCGTGTGCAAATGCCTGGAGAAAGGAAAGACCCGGAGCCCAGGGAAGGAGGGAGGCTGGGGAGCGGCCTCAGGAACCACTGGGGGGGGGGGGGGGGGGGGGGGATGTGGCCCGAAGCCCTGCCCCGCTGAGACCCCACAGGCTGGAAGGCACTGGAAGGTGACCTCCAGGGCGAGGGATGCAGGGCTTGGGGGGGGGGCGGGGAGAGAGCCGATGCACCTGCCTCTGAGTTGGAGGCATTATGGGGAGGATGGATCTCCCAGGCCCGGGACCAACACCAGCTTCCTCCTTAGGAGGGTAAAGCTGGAGGGGGAGCCCTCAGCCCCAGGGAAGGTGCAGTGTGTGTGCTGGAGGGGGGGTACACCCTCCGTGTTCCCCCAGGGCTCTGGGCTGGGGGTGGAGGCTCCTCTGCTTCTGACTTGAGACTCTTTCCATTTCGGTCTCGGGGACGGGGACACCTGGACATGCTGGGCTCCCTCCCACCTCTCTTCTGCTAGCAGGGACCCCAGGGACCGTGTCTCCCAGTGCTCCCTCCATGAGGAGCTGAGGCCAGAGGCAGAGCCAGGCGGCTGCTGCACCGCACAACAGCTTGTCTCCCCACGGCCGTGCATTCCCTCAGCACTTGGTGCAATCTTAGTTGGCACTCCATTAATTTGCAAGTAGGCTGCTTTGTACGTGTTCTTTTGTCTTTTCCCCCTGGCTGTCCTGACTCCCTCACCCGACTGGGCTCTCAGAGGGGAGGAGCGGCTGCCCCCAACAGCCATCTCGGCAGAGGCCCTGCCACAGCACCCCTGCGGGGAAGGCTGAAAGGTGCTCGGTGGAGCCCCAGCAAGGCAGAGACTCCTCCTGGAGGGCACGAAATGCAAAGGCCTGCCGAAAGAGCCGGTGAAGAGGGCCGTGTCCCCGTTCCCCAGGGGGGAAACTGAGGCCGAGGGAGTCTCCTCGACTACCTTGGCCTAAAAAGTGCTGGAGCGGGAACCCCGGGTTCGTGTTCTTACCAGGAGTCTCAGCTGGCGCTGCTACACGGCCCTGCCCCTCCCGTCACCCAGTCACGCGTTCCTGGACAGACATGAGGTTAGTAAGTCTTCGAGGGCACAGACTGGGTCTCGAGAGTACTCAGGCATCCTGAGCTGGGCTCCTTCTCTTCCTCAGAGACCCTCTCAGGCACGTCAGACAAGGACTGACCGAATACCGGGCGGCCAGAACCAAATGGCCCACCTGTCTCCGCCTACCTGAGGGCCTTCTTCAGACTCTGAGCTGAGCCAGACACATGGCAGCCGAGACTCTGGGCAGATCCCAGGCCGGGAGGTTCAGAACTAGAACAATCCCACACAACTTCCCCAAGCTATTTAAGTCCCCAAACTAACCATCACTCCACGCCACTTTCGGCAAACCCAACTCCGATGCCAACTGGAAAGGCATCACAGCAAACTCCAGGCCCAGAATTCAGTAGCCTTGAAGACAGAAGCCCTACCTTCCTCATTTGCCTGGTGGTCTCCTCATGTGTACTTGCAGTCACTGGTGTTTGGGGAAAGCCTCAGTTCACGAGGCAGCTACAGACACAAGGGCCGGGACCACCAAAACAATTTCTCCCCCAGGATCTCCCACATGAGATTGGTTTTCCTGAATCCTGGTACTCAACATGCCACACCGCTGCTCAGGTCCCTCCCATGACCCCCCCTTTTCCGTGGTGAGGAAGGGACCATCTCCTTGGCTGGACTCAGGGCCCCTCATCCGCCGGCCCCAGTGAGCACACTTTGCTTCTGTCTGGCTAGACTCCTCAATTCCCCACACGATGGACCCACACCCTGCCCAGAGAGCCGGCCTTCCACAGAAATCCTCCCTTGCTCTCAGAGTCAGCGGCAGCCCTTCTCCAGTCTAGTGTTCCCTCCCCTCAAGGTCACCTTGGGCCTGTTTACATACTGCCCAGTCCCACCTGCAGCTGACTCATGTATGGGTCATGCCCATCTCTCTTATCAAAATACAGGCTTCCTGAAACCAGGACCCCAAGTCTGCTCCTGTCTTGTCTCCATGCAGGCCAAGACCCAAAGACATGCTGATTACGTGATGTGATCTGAAGACCTGAGGCAGTCTGCGTGGTAGGAAGAGCCCAGCTTTGCAGCTCCTGGCTCACTCCTGGCTCTGATATTTCCTACTGGCTTACTATAGGCAGAAGATATAGCCTCTTTTTGCCTTGTTTTCCTCATCTGTGAAACGGGAGTATTATACTTACCTCACCATGCTGTTGTGATGGTTAAATGAGATCACTCATTCAACCAACAAACACTAAGCATCTACTATGTGCCAGGAATTGTGCTAGATGCTGTGCAGGGCAAGAGATAAAAAGAATGTACTTGCCTCCACGGAGATGGCATTCTAGTGGACCAGACGGATAACAGACAACTAGATAAAGAGTCTCTGATGTTGCTAAGTGCTACGAATACAAATAAGGCAATGGAGGGAAGAGGGGGTCATGGGGTTATCTCGATGGGGTGGTCAGGGGGGGACTCTCTGAAGAGCTGGCATTTGGGCAGAGACCCGGCTGACAGAGGACTGGCAGGTAGTAAGCGCTTAATAAATGTTAGCTGTTATTATAATTTGTACTGTGGGAATAAGAAAGTCCCACTTCCGAGCCTCAGGTGGAGCGCCCCTGACCTTGTCCTTATGCCTTGAGGTGCCCCCTCCCAGGCTGGGCCGCCAGGAGGGAGGGAGTGCTCACCGCCTGCCCAAACTTACATGAAGGTCAGCTCTGGTTCCTCCCTTTGGCCCCTCACCTGCCCTTCTAGCAGCATGTCTTCTTCATGTTTCAACCTCACGCTCACTAATTAACAGGATCACTCCATCGTCATTCTTACTATTGTGTTCCCTTCCATCTTTACAGTCATGACAAATATGCGTTCTCAGAACATGCTTCGGAGGAAGGCAGGGAGGTGAGTACGGCTTGTATGTTATAATTGAGAAACTGAGGCTCAGTGAGGTAGTGGGTTGCCTCGTGGCTGGATGCCTGAAGAGGGTGGCCCTGGCCCCCAATCTAGTCTTCCTACTATAATCCTCACACTTTCTCTTCACAACAGGTCTTGCTCTGTGCGCTAGTAGAGAACACACGTGCACACCCACACGCACACCCTGGCACTGTCAGCCCCTCCGGGCAGGGCCCGCGCTGTCCGTCTGGATACCCTTCCTAGCACCTTGCACGGGATCCTGCTTAGTACAAGTCTGGGATTACTCACAGCACCGTTCCAGTAACACTGCCTGGAGTGTCTGAACAAACCGGAGTAGGGCAGGCTCCCAGCTGCTCCCCCGTCCCCTGCCCTGGGCCGGCTGGTCCCCCCTCCCTCCAACCCCCCTCCCCAGCGGTGGCCCCTCTCTCCCGGCTGCCCCAACTCACTTCTCCAGCATGGACATGACGATAGGGGGGAGCACCAGGATGGGCATGGGGAGGACCACCCGCGTCAGCGCCGTCTCGAGCAGGGCCTGAGGGGCAAGCAGAGGCTGTGATGAGCAGAGCTCCCAGGGTGGGGGGCAGCCACCTGGCAGTGAACCCCTCTCTGGAGCCCCTAGGTGTGCGTACTGCTGCTAAGCACATCTGGCGGAATGGAATTAATTCATGGAATTGCTCATGAAGCCTTATTCCAAACACCAGAAAAAAGCCACCCCCATCTTCCCACCACACAGATTTGAAAAGAGCAGATCCCTGTCACCTGCCACGTGTGGGGGAGGGGTGGCAACACAGAAGCGGCCCCAGGAAGGGGCCTGTGCCCAGGGACGTGCCTGGGTGGCGGGCGCGGGGTCTGGGGAGGAAGCATATGGAGGACTTGAGATGCTCTAAAAACAAAGCAGGCTCTGGGAGGACCGGAGCAAACAGCTGGGGCCTGCTGAGCCGCGTGAGGCTCTTGGTGCTGAAGGAAGACGGAGATTCTGGGATTTACTTTTTTTTTTTTTCCTTTTTGACACCCCTTAAAGACAACGATTTAGAAGATCTTGCATCTCCTGGCTCTGGATGAGAGCCTTTCTTAGTGACAAGAGGTCGGCTTTGTAAGCAGGAAATGCTTCTGCTCAGTGTTTGCTGTGTCTCCATATGGGGTTGCCTGGGTCCTTGCTCTGGGAGCTCCCTCAGGATTCCTAGGGAGTGGGAGCATGGTGAAGGCACAGCTCAGAGGCTGTTCTGCACTCTGATGGTCACTGTGGGGAGTTCCTTCCAGTCCATGGGCTCCTGGCCCTCAGAGAAGGCTTGAGGAATGGCTCATAGCTCCCAGGCCCCGCCAAGAGCCTTCCCCTAGACAGCAAGGGGCTGACCCGGCCAAGCTGAGGGAAGCCCAGGGCTGCAAAAGAGCCTGGGGTTCCCTGCTGTTGGCACCATAAGGAGAGTTACTATGATGGGCCTCCTTCTCAGCACATCAGGGGCAACACTAGGGCTGGATGCGAGGTTGGGATCGGGTAGGAAATTGAGACTGAATCACCTTCAAGGATAGATAGGTTCAGGGCTGAAAATTTCTCCCAGGAACGTGGGTCCTTCATGATCAGACTCTGGAAGGCCTGGGAGAAGGTCCCTCCAGTCTGCTAAACAGGCGTGGGAATGATGGGGGTGCCCAGAGCCAGCACAGGAAGCAGAAGACACAGCACGGGCCCTGGTGTCCCCAAGCCCCTCACAAGCCTTGGATGGGCACCCACTTTCTCTGAGACCAGTGGGGTGGGGAGCGCTGGCTCCCCCCAGCAGGGGGTTACAGAGAAGTCCTCGCTGACGGAGGTGAGGCTTGGGGCGCGTCGTGGGAGCCGATGATGGACAGTGGCTGGGGCAGCGGTGAATGCTCAGCTATCACGGCTGACCCCCCATGCCAGCACTCAGAGGCCAGAGAAGGACAAGCCACTCATCACCACTTGGGCAAAGGCTGGGAAAGCATGGGGAGATATGCCAACGGACTAGAATTTTCTAAAAAAATTACGGTTGCTGGAGCGGGCGAGGCCAATGAAATGAGAGGTGAAAGGGGGCCTTCTTGCAGCAAGCCGTTCTTCCCCAGACCCCCCCTCAGCCACACGGGGTCCCTCATGAAGTAGCACCTGCAGAAGCGCCTATTAGCACCGGATGGCAAGCCACCCGTTCCAACGCTTCCTCCTCTGGCCCAAGAGGCCATGAAGGCCCAGGGAACAGTGCCCTAGGTCCCGGGGTGGGGGAAAGAAAGCTCTGGGCGTCTCCTCTGCCCTTTCCAATTAACAGAGCGGAGAAGTCAGGTCCTGAGGGGCTGGGACAAGAGATGGGATGTCTTGCAGTGGCGATGCGGGATGGAGAGAAGGGAGGACTATGCAGGGACAGGTGTGGCTGGGGCCAGACCTGGAGGCCCAGGGCTCATGCAGATGGGAGGCAGGGTGGCGCAAGGAGGGCGGAAGCAGAGGACAAACAAAGCAAAGGCGCTGTGCACAGAAGCCCCTGAGGAATGAACCCCTCTCCTAGCTGCTGGCCTCCCCACTGGCCCCCTGAGCCCCCAGATGACCCACATGTCTGGCTGCAATCTTGGAGGAGCCCACGAGGTTGCCATCACCATCCAGGACATCGATGCCTTCCTCCAGCTCCCCATACCGCATCAGGACCACGTTGCAGATGTTGGCACTGGCTGGAGAGAGGGGAGGGGGGGAATCAGGGGGCACAAATATGAGGGGAGGATGCCGTTCTAGCTGGTGGAGAAAGCCACTGGGCTGCACCCAAGCCTCCCTGCCTCCTCTAGCAGCAACGGTCCCAGCAGCAAGCGTCGAGTCTGCGTTCAGACGCAGTGGGTGAAGGTATGGTTCTGCTGCCCATCTGCCCCCCAGCCTACTGAAGGATTCGGGCGCCCTTGAGAACCTGGTGAGCAAAGGCGGAAAATAACCAGTGTGAGGGAGGAAGGGGACAGGGTTCAGGAGCTAGAGAGCGACCAGTTATCAAGGGAGCTGCTTGCCTGTCCCCGGGGGCTGGGCCTGGCAGGCAGGCGAAGTGAACGCCCATCTGCCAGGGCTCCCTGGCTTGAAGACGCCCCGCCAGTGCCCCATGTTCCGTCATCAGCAACTCAGTCCCTCGGGCTGCCTTTCTGGGCATTTTCCCGAGGCGGCAGCCCCTCACATTCAGCCCTTTGCTCCTCAGAGCCACTCAAGTTCCCAGAGATTTGCTTCTCTGACAGCAGGTGCCAGAGCAGGCAGGAACCTCAGTGCTCACCCAGCACCGCCCCCTCATCATATGGATGGAAAAGTGAGGCTCAGGGGAGGGGGGTGACTTATCTGAGGTCACACAGTGAAGTGGGACAGAGCCAGCCCTTTGGGTACCTGGGAGATGGGAGGGTTCGGGGATGGGGGTCAGGGGGAGGGCTCAGGCAGAGCTAAAGGCCAACCTTCTACAGTCTCACTTCAGATGGTTGGGTTCCCTCCCTTGGCTATGAGATCATGACAGATCCTGGCTCCTTAGTTAAACACTGGATGCCAGAGTTTGGGGGGCCATCCATCAGCTGGTGGCTAGCCCCAGGAGTCTCCCTCTGCTTCTCTCACCTGGATCCGGCAGGACTGGGCCCGGGGCCTGGGGCAGGGTGGCTGCAGCGCTGACCTCCCCCGACCTCCTCCAACCTTGCTCCAGGATAAAAGTGGGGGGACTTGAGGGTGGTGGGCGGGTGGGGAGTGGGGGGGGTGACAAATGTGGAGGCCGCCTGCTTCACTCCTCCCCCAAAAGCGCCTTGCTGTGTTTAAAGTTTTAATTTTTGCTAATTAATGTCAATTAATTTTGTATAATGAGTGTTTAATTTTGGGGAGTGTGTGAGCCTGGGAGCGACTGCAGTTCTGGGCTGCGAACGCTGATTAGCATCAACACCTGCTGCTTCCCCACTCCCTCCAGTGGGGGGGCACTAGGGTTTGGGGAGCTGCAGGGCTGCAGGGCCTAGTGGGCAGGTGGAGTGGGAGGAGGGCCACAGATGCTCCTGGTGCCTGAGCCAAGGCTGGGGTGCAGGCGGCGAGGGCGCCTGCAGCTGGGGGACGGGGGGCTGCAGGTGAGGGGTGGCTTGAGACCCTGGGGGTCTCTGAGCCTCAGTCTCCCATTTCAATACAGTGGAGAGAGAGGTGGAATAAACAGAGGGGAAGACCAAGACGCTCTGCAGTCTTTGGAGAAGAAAAGCAGGAGACCAAATACAGTGCTAAAATGTATTTACAGCACATACGCCATCTTTGAGTAGCTCTTGTGTTTCCACACGACACTCAGCCGCCGTGGTAGCCATAGGCAGACCTCTTTGGCACCGGATCCCTCCTGCCCTCACAGCAGCCACTCACCTGCCTTACACAGCCAGGGGCGAGCTTGTGAGGCATCTGGCAAGGTTTGGAGACATTTTTGATGATCACAACCTGGCGTGGGGGAGTGGGTGGGGGGTGGCCACTGTCATCTAGTGTGGAGAGACCAGAGGTGCTGCTAAACAACCTACAAGGCACAGCCCCCACCACAAAGAATTATCTGGTCCAAAATGTAAGTAGTGCTGACGTTGAGAAACCCTTGTATTCCACAGAGACTGACAGAAGGCGGAAGGCGAAGCTAAGGTAAGAAAGGAGAGGTTGGGAGCCCGGATTTGGGGTCAGCTGGGCTTGAGTCACAGTCCTGGCTCTGAATCTCCCCCTCTTCATCCCCAGAGGTGAGCTCCTGCCAGCCCTGGGCGCCAACCGCCCAGGGTTTAGGGTCCAGAAGGGCCCCCAGAGTGGCCTTGGGTCGTGGACACCTGGCCTGCGTGTTAGTGCCTCGCCCTCTAGTGGCGGCAGGACCACTCTGCATCCCTCACACCTCGGGGGCTGCCAGGCCCTTGGTTCCCAGGAGACCCAACAAAACCACTGGAGAGGGTATTGGGGTTTTCTGCCCTGAAAGGCATTGATCTCTGCCCTCTGAGAACCCCTTACATCACTGCCACACCAGCACCACACCAGCACCCCTGCTGCAGGAAAGGCAAAGCTAAAGGAATGTGGTCCAGGTGATGAGCATCTGCCTGAAGTCAGGAGTCACCAGCTCATTCTGCAACCCAAAGCATCCACCCTTACCAGGCTTCTCTGGATATAAAAGGAGGGGCTGCATTTAGCATCTCTATGGGATCTCTGGTCACTGGCTGAGCTCACATGGAATGTCAGCTTCTGCACCCAAGCCCCCACCAGGTTAGGGGAAGCCAGGGACAACTGAAACATCTCTCGCCCTGTGTTGCATGCACATGTGTGTGTGTGTGCACACACAGGTGCAAGAGACAAAGAAGAGAGTATTTAGAGGTGGTGGTCCACCAGTCCCAGACTCATGATGGCATCTTGCTTGCTCTCTGCAATTTCCAAATGTAAAATGTAGCCACAGCAGACAGAGTAGGACTTTGGTTCAAACACAAAACCACTTGGGATGAAACACACAGCAGGAAAAGAAGTGAAAACCCAGAGTCCTTCCCCTCAGCCCCTCCAGGACAATTTAGGCATGAGAAAGCCCTCTCCTCATCTAAGCTGCCTGGATGGAAAAAAAGACAGAAGAACCCTAAAAGCCACCCTAAAATGATGGCACTCCCCCCCAGCTCCCTCCCTCAGAACGCCCCCAGTTCTTCCTGCCTACTCAAACGGCACACGCCCTGTAATATCTTCTGTTGGCCGTATACACTGGTGGTCCATTTTATTGAGCACCTGCTGGATGCACAGGTTCCTAGCCATCCCTGTCTTTGAGCAGTGAGAACATGAGATGGTTTCCATGATTTCATTTCCATGATCTCCTCCAGAACATTCATTTCTGCCATATTCCTTTCAAGCCTCCCTGGTCCCTCCTAGCCCACTCCTGGCAAGTCCAGCTCCCAAGTCACGAGCACTGAGAGCCTCAGCAAATGAAAAAGAGAGAGAGAAAGAGAGACCAACTGTGGGCCATGGGTCTCCTTTCTAGCACACCAGCAAGATCTATTATTGACAGTATCAGCAGGTTAATTAAGCAGTCTGTTAGTGATCATGTTAAGAAAGCTGGCACATTTTCAACTCGGATTGACGCCATTCAAGATTCAGGCACAACTGATGTTAGAGAAGCTATGCTGAGAGATGTCACAAGATGAGAGAGGGAGATCGCTTCACACTGATGGCAAGCTCAGTGTCAAGTCCTGAGGAAAATATGCTCTTGACTGCTGCAGATGTTCTCACATCAGACCCATCGTGATGCAAAATCATGCAGATTGTGAACAGCTAATGAAGCACCCCGTGTAAAAGGGACAGTGTGGGGAAGAAGAAAGAGCAGTAGACAGAAAGGCAAATGTGCAAAAAGAGTCCTCAAGAAGAAGGCGGCGGGGGAGCTTGCCCCCTGATCCACCAAAGGAACCGACGTGCGGACCGGCGGAGTTAGGAGTCCAGAAACACACCCACCCGTAGGGGGAAAGGAGTCTGTGGTAAAGCAGTGACATCAGCTCCCAGGAAAGGACCATTCAAACGCGAAAGCAAAGCGATGGGTTATGGGGCTATCCCTTTGGGGAAAACAAAATATCTTCACTCCTTGGTTCTAAGATGCATTTCCCCACATTTTAATGTTTCAAAAGTCATGATGTGCCTAACAACGGACGGCGGGGTGGGGGTAGAGGAAACCTGTGCATGTGTAAACTTTGCCACGTGTAGAGGTTCATTCAAGTGTCACCTCAGCTACCCAGAGCAGTCTGCACAGAATCTGAACTTAAACTTAGATTCCTAATTGTTGCCTAAAACATCTTTTTAGAACTTACACTATAATGGAGCACGGACATGAAAAGTTATTGTACATGCAGGAGATCGTCTGCCAGATACCAGGCAATGCAATTAAAGACAGCAGAAATTGCCAAACCATAGATAGCTACCCTAAAGAAATGCTTGCCCATATGCACAAAGAGACATTTACAAGGATGTTAATTATAGCACTGTTTGTAAGAGCAAATAATTAGAAACAACCTAAATGTCCACCATTAGGGACTCACATGGGAAGATCTCCAAAACAAACTTATATGAAAAAAGCTACTGAGTATGTACAGGATGATTTACTACATGTAAAACCCCATAACTGGGAGGCACATACTGTGGGCCCATAAATCCACAGGTAACGTTTTGGAAGGTTCACACCTCATGCAGTGATCCCCTTGGGAAGGGAACTAAATTTAGGAATTAGGGGTTGTTGAAAGACTTCTACCTTTTTTTACCCTATTTTTCTAAATACCGTTTGAATTTTTACAATGAGAATATAATCGTGCTTTACTTGTCTAAGAAGTGAAAGAAATTGCCAAACTTCCTAAAGTAGATCATAAACATTTGAAAGCCAGCAGGGATTGCTATGACCTTCTCACGGTTCCTACGTATCTGTGGCTATAGGTGGGAAACTTCCTAAAGAAGCTGATTAACTTCAGGAATAGTTTTTCCTTCAGGTGAAGAAAAAAAATGAAACCACAAATATAACCAAGTAGGAAATGCAGACAAAAAAAAAACACCCCAAATTCTTTTATATGCTTTGAAATTATACTGTTGGTTTTAAAGGGGCCAAAAGGGTCAAGACTAGAAACAGGGTGACAGAAAGCAGTGGTGGGCCGTGATGCTGTGTTTAACAACCGAAGTCCAAAAGAGAAGTGGAAAAGGTAAGCAGGACTCAGACTCAAACTCC